CGTTTGCATGACAGCCCATCCGAAGCCAACCTTCGTAAATAGGATGCACCCCAAAAAACCCAAAAGCCCTAGAATTCCCTAGACCCGAGCCCGTCACACCCTTTGTCCGTCCAGCTTCTGCAAATCTAGGGGAAGGCCAGATTGCCCACAGTAAGCCCTAAACCTCTGCCATGCGAGAGGGAAAAGCCCTAAACCCTAAACTCCAAACCGTTCCCGCCTCCTCGGCGACCAGTTTGTTACGTTCAGCCTTCGTCTCCCGAACCCCCAAGTGCTCCACACCATCCTTTGCAAGTGGGGGCCTCCTGCCCCTGTGCTCGTAGCCCTCTGGACATCCATCTTTCATACAGAGCCCCCACACATGCATCCGATGTAGAACCGCACTGCCGAAAGACCCCGCCCGCACGGAAACTCTTGGTAAATCCTCCCCCGCAACGTCCGTGTAAGGCAAAATCATGGAATCTTCATATCGAGGCCCAAATCTGTTCATTTCAGTTTTTCCCTGCATGCATAGGGTTACAGGCCCTTGGGGTTTTCCACACTTATACGGCTGACACAACTAATCCAAGGGCCTTAATAATTAGAATAGGGTTCTAGGGGCTCCTAGTTCTAATTCTGAGTTCCCCAATACCCAACCTTTGAACTTTTTGGGTTCTTATAAGTTAGTAGCAATCTGAAAGTTTAAACTTCTTCTTCCCTGGCTTATAGGGGAAGTAAGAATTATAGTATAATAGACCCCAAAACTCCATTCTAATTATTAATGCCCCTATATTACTCTCTCAGCCCTCACCTCGGCAGGCTGATGTTTGGCGATACTTGGATGGCATGTGCCAAGGCCTTAAGGCAGGGAGCTCAGAAATTCACTAAACAAATCCTGGCTTACGGCTTTTGAGGTTTAGGGGTACATATTGCCTAGATGGCTATATGGGTTATGGAGGTTATAGATCGCGGGGCTTAGGTGAACTTACCGGGAGGGTTCAGGTTGTCGACGTCGTGAGTCTTTAAAATGCAAATTTGAGTGTTTTTAACGCGCGAAAGGAACTTTGCATGTTGTGGCTTCCGGCCCTAGACCGTCAACCCCAAGCCAAAAACCGAACCCTTAAACTCTGCCATGCGAGAGGGAGAAAACCCCTTAAACTGCTGCTTTGGAAGCACGGCTTGCTTACGGTTTGTGCTTGCGTGCGCCAAGGCGTGCTGCATAAAAGGCTTACATTAACCCCGGGGGACTGGCCTTGGGGGTGCGAGGCTTGGCTTTGGGCTTGTAGACTAAAATATGCACCATAGCTTTTTATAGTATACCATGCTACCGGGCAATATACTAATAGACCAGAAGTGATATACCATATATATACTTCAATGTAGGACTATATTACGCTCTATTACGAAGCCTTCAAAACCTTTTTAAGAGGGATCTCGGGTTCCGGGCTCCGGACTGATATTTGAGTCTTTGGGGTCGCGAATGAGCTTTCTGATTCAAGGTTTTGGGCTTGGGGCTTTGGGGTTAAGGGCTCAGCGGCTTGGACGGCGTATTCTGTATCGTACGTTGGGGTAGTTCTGCGTCATGACGGATGTTCTAGCAGGCTCCTTATGGACATGACACTGGAAGCTTGAAGGTAGCAAGGATCTCAGTTTAGGTCTTTCAAAAGAAACCCTTATGAAGTAGGTGTGTGGGATTGGCGGTTTGGGGTTGGGCTCTCAGTGCCTGTGAAAGGGAGAGGCTTCACCCTGGCTTTGTGTTACCAGGCCGGGCCTAGGATTTCGATGAATTTACGCTGTGTTGTCTCGGTGAAGTGGGGTTGCGGGGTCCACAGTCGCCAGCGCCCGAAAAGTTGCAAGTTGTGCATTGCTCAAGCCCAGGCTCCCACAAAAATGCGCTTCTGCCGAGAACATGCATGCCAGCATGCTGTGAATCGAGGCCCTGCATGACCTGCGTATCCTTCATCGTGACCTCAAGTGCCGCGAGCTTACGCGGATACTGGCTCGTTTGAGTCCAGAGCATGTGCTTCCTTACTGAAGGTGCCAATGTTTTTCTCAGCCACTCACGGGATGGGCATCAGCCTCAGTCCAGCCCAGTCTCAGCGGTGGTGGTGGTGTTGGTGGTGGTATGCATGTATTCTGTTAGATAGATAAATAGATAGATTAGATTAGACTAGATTAGATTAAATTAAATCAAGTTAAATTAGATTAGATTAGCTAGCTAGGCAGGCAGGCAGGGAGGTAGGTCGGTAGATCTAGGTAGATCTATAGGTAGGTCTAGGTAGATAGGTAGATCGGCAGCTAGATAGATAGTTTCAATGCCGTGTGTGTGTGTGTGTGTACCTGTATGTATGTATATAGATATAGATAGATAGATAGATAGATAGATAGATTAGATAGATAGATGGATAGATAGGTAGATAGATATATATGTGTGTGTGTGTGTGCGTGCACGCGTGTTTGCGTATGTATGTTTATGCACAATTCGGGCGCCCTAGTTTCCTAGTCAGTCGTTCTACAGGATCAGGTGCTTAGATCGCAGGTACCGTCATCGCATCATGCAGACAAATCCTGCCGTCTTTATGATGTTGATCTCTGACTGTCTGTTCGCGAAACTAAACCGCAAAATGACTCGCAACTTTCAAAGCCACGGATGAACAAATCGGACTCGTGCCTCGGTCGGCGTGCATGTTTGGATCTATTGTCTTGCTCCTGAAGACCAAGAAGGGGGGCTTTCAACCCGAGCAACTGTAGAGCCCTGATGTTTATAAACCCACTCCCGTTGTAAGGGTTACAAAAAGGATAATCCAGCGGCCTAAACAATTACCTGTACTATGTTAGGAGTTCCTTGTTATAAGTATAGGATAATATACACCAAAACCATATTCTAATTATTCAGGCCCCTACACTAGTAGTCAATTTAGTAATAAAATATGAAGGCCCTGAGTTCGGGCGTTTGTGTATCAGCGCTCATTGTTGAGGCTCATTGCGAAGCTGGGAGATTTCAATGCCCGGCACTTGAAGAGTTGCGCTTTGCTCAAACGAAGGAACGCCTCCGAAGATTCGCCATAGCTCCCAAAGGCTCCATGTACTTTTATGGTAGATACTTAGGCCTTAAAGGGGTCCCTATATAGGTACTTTAAGGCCTAAGTATCTTCTAGAAAGGTACATGGAGCCTTAGGGGCTCACACGATCCCAAGAAGACCTTCCGCTCACTAAAGGACCAAAAAAAGTTTCCAATCCTATAGACTTTGAAGCGAGTATCTACGTGGGTAGGAAGCCCAAAAACACTAAGCCCCAAACCCTGAACCCTAAAAGACCCAAGAACACTAAACCCTGAACCATAAGCCGTAAACGCCTAAACACTAAGCCCTGAACCATAAATCCCAGAACCGAAAGCCTAAACACTAAAACCCCGAAACACTAATCACTAAACTCTGAACCATAAACCAACATAACCCCCAAACCTGAACCCTAAAACCCTAAACGCTATAATCCCTCAGCCATCAATCCCAGAACCTAAAGCCAAACAACCCTAAAACCCCTAAACGCTAAACTCGGAACCATAAGCCCCAAAACCTTAACCCTAAAACCCTAAACATTATAATTCCGGAGCAATAAACCCCAGGAAAAAAAAAGCAAATCCCTAAAACCCCTAAACACTAAACCCTGAACCGTAAGCCCCAAAACCTTAACCCTAAAACCCTAAACACTATAATTCCTGAGCCATAAACCCCAGAACCTAAAGCCAAAAATCCCTAAAACCCCTAAACACTAAACCTCGGCTTCGCATTTCATTTAGGGTTTCTAGGAAGGTTTGCATTTCTTTTATAGGGCTTATAGGGTTTATAGGGTTTAGGGTTTGGTGTTGGCTTGGGCGCGGTTTGTTCTGTTTAAGGGCTTGTTGGATTTCTCGGCTAGTATCGTGTGAGCAGTGTGTTGGGGTTTCCAGTTTCACATTAAGGTAGAGAATCGCGAAGCGCCAGTTGATGTACATGTCCTTGTGGTTTTATAAAACCATGTAATTACATTGTGCAGTCAGTATTATTGTGGCTTCCTGTACTTACTTGATGTATTCTGTCTTGCTTGTTTTTCCGAAGCAAATCTGGACCCATGTCTGCCCTTCCGTGAACACGTGAACAAGCAAGTCACTAGATGCCAGTGGATCATAAGAATCCCATCGCACTGACATATGCTTGCATGCAAACATCCATACGACTGTAAATGCATCCGTCCTGCCATCCATACGCCACCTCGCTAGATTTTACAGTCGTATACCGCCAGTCGAAGCCCACGGCATTGGCCCTCCAGGTGTCGAAAGTTGCAAAAAGGGGCTTGTGCATGACGCAGACGGGCACCCCGTACTACGCCTCCCCGGAGGCATCAATTCGGGCTTAGGCGTTTTGAGGGTTTGAGATGTTGGCGGTTTCAACTGTTTCCCTAACCCCCCAGGTACCTACTATATAGGGTACTAAATCCCCTAGGGCCCTATATAGTAGGTACCTGGGGGGTTAGGGTTTCGTGTACCAGGTGTCTTTAGATAGTAGTGCGTCGGCTTGCAGTTCATTCAGATGCCAGGGACCTCCTGTCTCGGATATCGCATCACATGTCGTTGAGGCATTGCTGCCGCGTGCTGTCGGATTATGATAGAAGTGGTAAAGTTATCACCAGTATTTTTACCATATTAGTATGATAAGAGTCATAATACTAAATCATCATGAATACAGATTCGAGTTGGTTTCTTGGCCAAGCAGTTCCGCATGTGCGGCTCAAGCAGACTCCACCCTGCCCCCTAAATACCCTAGAAACGGTTACTTAGGGTTGTACCCGGGGTTTAGGGTTTCGGGAAGCAGTGGCCGACTTTTTAGCTGATGATCAGAGCCTGGGTCCAAAAACAAAGGGAAGCAGGAAGCAGTAGCTCGACAGCATGCGCGACAACAACGACAACTAGCACCCAACAGATCAGCATGTTGAGGCAGAGTGCTGCTGAGCTGCCTTTTGTCCGGCACTCCTAGCAAGTCACGGCCATGAAGGGATTCAAGGGCCAGAGCCCGTCAATGGCTCCGGAACTGGGGGGCCTCTCTGCAAGCTTCGTGCCACCGAGCTCAGGAGCGGCCTGGGAGACATAATCGCACGTAGTGCATCATATTAGGCTATGATATTTGCATCATGTATTTTATTGTGTGTCTTGTTTGTGTTATATACAAATTACATCACATTATAATACATCTGGGTTAAGGAATAACTATATGGCTATGCAAAAAACACAGGGCCGTATTTCGACGAAATCTGTACATTAAATTCGATTAGCCACCATGTTCATGATACTAGCAACGGTAATACCACACTCGAGCAGGTTTGGGACGTTCGAGTAACTTCGTTTGTTTCAGGTAGAGTTCCCACCATGAAAAAGCCAAATGCTAGCCAGCTTGGGTTTAGGGTTTAGGGTTTAGGGACGCCGACTCTGAAGTCTGAAGTTGGAGAGGCAAGGACGAGTTTCGGACTGATGTTGCTGTAGCTTGTAAAAGGCCATATAATATGCGATAATATAGTATAATACCATCCAAACTTAACAGCAGAGGGCAGACCGTCCATCCATGCAATGCCTGGCCATCACGGCACCAAATCACAGAGCTCCTCACGTCTGAAACTTCAGCTTTCTCAATAGGCAGTCCGAGCATGAAGCGACGAAGCCGCATGGACGCATAGAAACCCCCAAAGAACTCTGGGTAGAAAGAATCAAGATTGCACTTTGGCAGGCCTCTCTGGCACCGTGAAGTCGTGGAATGGGGCGAAAGGCTTTGGCTTCATCCAGGGGAGCGCGCTTGGGACCGACGTCATGTTTTCCAAGAGAGAGTTGCCCCAAGACTGCACGAGCATCGGGCTCGGGGGGCATAAATTACGCATTTGATTGAACAAACATCTCTGATCGCCCTTTCGACTCCGCAAACCTTAGCTACGCCCTAAGGCCTGCAATCTGGAAGTCCTACATCGTAACATGCCTAGGGCCTTAATTCAAGCTTGGCAGAGAAGTACTGCTACCATCATGGTTGTCAATGCCCTCGCAGGGACTATAAGACATGTTTGTAATAACTTGTTGTTATGGATGTCTTGTCGCCTGGTTTGTTGCGATCGTACTACTACTACTACTACTACTACTACTACTACTACTACTACCGCTAACATTGAGAACCACTAGCTGCTGCTACTGCTGCCGCTGCCTCCCGCCTGCTACTACGTTTGCTACTGCTGCTACTACCACTACCACCACTACCACGAATCCAACCTCAGTGAGCTGAAGCATCTTGAAGCAGAAATCATCGAGAGCAAGTATCAAGGAATCCTTTTTCAGCCTCACAACGCAGATTCTGGTGCATATTTCAGCATAGCTTACATGCGCTGGGCTTCGCAAAGCTTCGCGTTCTGTTCCACGGTGCAGCATTTTCTTTTGTATACTGCTTTGTATTTAAGCATTCTTGATTGAACGGGCAACATAGTTAACCAACCCACCAAACTAACCAAACTACAATTAAAGGTATACGTACCTCCCCGAGTAGGACTTGAAAACTGCAGAGCTCCGACTGAGGCGCATGAGACCTGGAGTTTTGATTCAGGCTTTAGAACCTGAAATAGCGATGGGTCGACTCATGAGCACTTTTTCGTCGTTGGTGGACATTGTGCTAATCTGATGCGCAGTAGGCATGCAATGTTGATGAATTAGGTTGGGAACCTTAAGATCAGGCTCTGCTAGCATATCTCGCGGAACCCAACTCGGCAACCCAAATTCAAAACTTGAGGCAAAAGCAACCTTTCCAGAACGTACTTGAACTGATAAACCTATGGAATAAACGCGCCGTGCCTAACACTAAACTCCAAGCTCAAAATCACCTGAACGACCCCTTGAAGACTTTAGTGACCCCTATGGGAGCCCTTGAGGTGCACGTTTTTTCACGGATCTGAGGCCGGATGATGCTCAAGATGTGCAGGGCAAGTTTCTCACTGGGAGTGCCGGGCTCAGGGAAGAAAGGGACGGGGTAAGGGTTTGATAGGGCTGTTTAGTTTGTCAGGGCTCATGTAGATTTGGCACGAGTTTTAATTTATCAGGGCTTTGTCAAGACGTTGCAGGCCTTCGCAAACGGTATTTGTCACCAAGGTTTCGGAGAATTTAGTGTCAGACAGTATTTGCTGGAACACCTGGCCTGTCAATCCGACGATCGGCGGGCAAGCTTGTCCACCAAGTGAGTGCAAGCAGGTGCTGGCAGAAGCCACTGCAGATGAACCCATTCAAAGCTTCGTCGAAAGCCCCAAACCATGCTAGAACATTCAATACTTAATATTTATGATTCAATCTCAAAAAATGCCACCAGGGTGCAATGGAAGGACCGTAAGAAACGCAAACCGGATCTTTCCACTTCGAGGGCTCAGAAAGTCAGCTCTACAATGTCTTGCAGATGACGGCTTGTAGCCTACTCGTATAGTATAGGGTTTAGGGATGTTGGGTTCAGGGTTTATAGTACTGTACAGTTCTACCGTATAGTATAGTACAGTCTAGTAATCATAGTTTAACATACATGGCTTGGCTTACCCATGTGTGGTATGTGTGGTGGGCTTGCTCGCTTATGGTAGGATTAAGGGTAGTCTTCGCCGCGAGAAGCTCCGTACCCCCCTTGGTTAGGTTTAGGGGTTAATATAGGGGCCTTAATAATTAGAATAGGGTTTTGCGGCCCATTATACTAGAATTAAACCCCAAAAAGTCTTGAAGTAGTACTTATTTAGGCTCCTACATTAGGGGTTTGAGGTTGGGGTTCTGGCTTTTGACGTGGCATCACCACAGGAACCGTCTACTTCGACGCGCAAGAGGGTCCGGATGGCCGACAGAAAGCCACCACCGTGATGATCCCCCATGCACCGGGTCTGCACAGAAAGCCCGAAAATGTCAAATCCACATGCGGGGGGAGGGGGTGCTGGTGATGAGTTAGCTGACTTGGGGCCACATGTGCCTCCCCTGCGAACCGTGGCCCTGAACCCTAAACCCTACTTAAAGGATCATGGGACTTAGTAAGTAAGGTTATAACTAATGTAACTATACTTATAACCCCAATTAAGGGACTTATAACCTTACTTACTAAGTCCCATGATCCTCCAAGTACATCCCTTTGCTGGGCGGAAAAGGGCCCTTAAAAAATAAAAAATACATCCCTTCAGCCCCAAACGCTCAGCCCAAAACCCTAAACCGCTTGCCAGCTCACCTAGGTTGAGGGCCTTCCTGTGCCCGGCAAGATCAAGTCCTACAGCGACTTTTGGCTCGGTTTAGTACCTATATAGGGCTTAGGATTTAGGGGTTTGGGGGTTTAGGGTTAAAGGGTTTAGGATTTAAGGGTTTAGGGTTTAAGGGTTCGCTGACCGACGGTGTATATTTATGCATGTCTAATTAAAGTTCATGCATGCATACATATACACGGATTTAAAACTACATCTATGTGTAAATATAAATATATATATATATATACATATATATATATATGTATACACACACACACATTTGTCGTGTGTTTACTTCCAGCATTGCGTAACCCCTCGTTTATGCATATGCACCGGTTTGTTTGCGTGTATGTCATGTCTTCAATCCTACAGCCTCTCACACGTGGAATTGCAATTTTGGGCGTATACATGCACACTTCATTTCGTAGTTTTTTCAGGACTTAGAGCTAGAGGCTTGGTGGGGAATGCTTTCACGTCTCTGGCATCTCTCGACAATCCCCGACAAGACACAGACCCCGGCGATTTAGGGTCCGGTTCAGCGCAGGCCAACACAGGAAGAAGCCACAAAAGGTACTCTTAGCATGTTGCGGTAAGGACAGCGGAACTGTGATCACAGCAATGGTGGGCAGAAGGAAACGGGTTCGATAGAAGCGGAAGCAGTAGCAAGATGCAGCAACAGAGCACCATGGCATGGCACTAGTCGTGGCATGGCATCGATAACGCTCCCTGATACCAAGCACAATACATCTCGGCCCGGAAGCCACGGTGTTACCAAAGACTCCTCATCAGGAAAGACATGGTTGGGGTCGGGACCTCGGTGTTTGCTGCGATCTGGCAGGCCATTGATTCGTGTTTTTCGGGATGAGGGAGACGGAAAGAGAGAGACCGAGAGATGAAGAGATACAACCCGCGGCCATGAGAAGCCTGCGGCCCGGATGTGCACTTTTGAAGTGGGCCTGATGGGCGGGCCCCAAAACCCTAAACCCTAAACCCCAAAACAGCCTTTCAACAGATGGCTTGAACAAGCATGCCGTCATTCCGGCAGACCTAAAGGCCGGCTGATGATCAGAGGAGCCTTGACATAGCAGACACACGCAGATGCGCACACACACACACACATGTCTCTCTCTCTCTCTCTCTTATGTAAGTATGTACATGTACACATATTTTCTCTAGGTGTAACTATGTATATGTAGACATATACATGTCTATGTATATTTATATGCATACAAATACACATACATATATACCACCCCCTCACACAACCTACGGAAGCCTTTGTTGAATGAAGAAGGTGCATGCTATTTAGACAGTACGCATCACACTGCAAAACAAGCTTCCAGCCTCGATCCCGTGTCCAAAACTTCCTGACATGGTGTCTCTGCTGTCACGAGCTATCGTAGTATCCTGTGGAACATGCGCGCCTACCCTGACCCGGACGTGTTAAGCCAAATGCCGCCCGGTGGACCAATGCGAGGTTTTATTACCTCCAGCGCGCTTACGGAAGATGTCCGCTTTGACAAGAACAGCCTGGCCGCTCTGGAGGGCATGCAACCTGATCCCAAGCTGGCTGGCCGCTCCTCTGTGGTTAAGAGCATTCGGCTGACAGGGGCATGGCATTTTTAGAACATCGTATTGTGTCTAGGCCCAAATGGCATCATGCAGGCACAGTTGCCATGAGACGGCCCGTCTGTTCAGGTGTCCCGGTTGTCGTGGAGTTTGCGACTCGCTGGCACCAGTTCGTGTGTGTGTGTGTGTCCTGATAGGATTTTGATCGGGCTATTCACTAATCCCTGCGACATAGACTTTGTGGGAGCTGTATCTACGGTTCTCTATCTTGCGCAAAATGTGGAAGAACTTGCTTTTGGTGCTTTTCCAGCGTCTAGCAGACCCAAGCAAATCGATGAGTCGTTTGAGGTTGCCAGACCCGATGGCAAGCTCAACGCGAAGCGAGTCATGTTCCAAAGCGGTGAGATTGCAGAGCGCGCCTTGAGTGAAACTTAGAACCGTGGGTTTAGGGCTTGGGGTTTCGGATGTAGCTGAATGTGGTATGTAAGAGCAGTTGAGTTACAAGTTGCATGCTTTCGGGAATCGTTTAGTTATTGGCCGTCAAGACGACGCTGCTCTGAAACAGTGCGCCTATCCTAAAAGCAGAACGATTAGAAGCCACGGGAGATTATCTAGCTCCTACATGGAAAAGCACCCAAACCTATAAACTTTAGCGGCTGGCGTAAACTTGATTTCTGCTTTAGCCGTCATGGGACACAAAAGCCTACAAACACGATGACTGTACCCTGTAAACCCAAAACCCTAGATTCTTTCATGAGTCATTACACTTCGAGTCCTGGAACATCTCAGGACTGGGCGTCAAGGGTCCCGGCTTTGGAGCGGCACCCGGCTTCGCAGCGACGCCCGGCTTTGGAGCGGCGCCCGGCTTTGGAGCGGCACCCGGCTTTGGAGCAGCGCCCAGCTTCGCCGCCGGGCCTGTCAGCGGCTTACGGGCATTGCTCAATGCCCAACAGAGCCTAAATAAGGACAAGGGTCCAGGACTTTCGAGAAGTTACGGACGTTTCACCAAGGTGTTTTGCCGCGTCTTCAAGTGAGATTCCAACACAACACAGGCCAATACGCATCGCTACTGTTCGAGGCGGCAGTGTGTTTCTTAAGATCTCTGTGAACCCGACAGCAGGCCCTGTTTACAGTTTTTTGGCGGTTGAGTTTGCTGAATCTTTGCGTTTGCTGGTATTCGTGGGTACGCCTCCTGTTTTACGGCCTTTGATGGGGATGGGTGCCGGGAGTTGTTGGAATCTTGTAATCCAAGAAAAAGTTGTTGGCCAAGTTTCTGACCGGAGGTGGAAAATGGTAAGCCCTGTCTACCCGTTGGCTCGCAGCACCTTCTGGTTGCGCGAGTTCGCCAAAACATCCTGAAACCCTACAGTCACGTTGCAACCAACGGCTTGGTTCCCGACATCCCAGCCCCAGCGGCCCGCAGCTAATTTGATTGCGGTCAGTGCATGCAACTTGTCTCACAGGCTCGAGGTTTTAGGGTCAGGGCCCTAAACCCTAGACCCTCGAAGCCATGCCTGCCTCGTGCGAGTGCGCGCGCGCGCGCGCGCGGGTGTGTGT